AATAAAGCTGATTTGGTACATATATTTGAAACATAGCATCTGCAGCCGAACTAGGAGACCTGTGCATCAGCTGTCAGCGCCATATCCCCACCGTTAATTTACATAAATATTAGGATGCAAGCAAAAGTTAATTAATTAATATTGTCTAACGAGTTTGTACCTTATGCTAACATAGCCTAGGTACATTGAAATTTAATGCATCACATATTATGTTCCATTTGCTAAGTAATTACTTATACTATATATAATATATATAGTGCACAAACAAGAAAATAATTTATACTAATTAAGTCATTCCTCTCTCTTAAGATGTGTAATGTATGACTGTAAGAAGTATTTGTGTAATGAGTGTAATGTGTGTGAGCAATTTAAGGAGAGGAGTGTATAAAATGTGTGTGTGTGTGTGTGTGTGTGTGTGTGTGTGTGTTTGTGTGTCTGGATATTATTACTTTTATACGGGTAGCATTGCGTGTGAGTTATATAAGAATTTCGAGAGTAAACAGATAGTACATCCATTGTAAACAGAATCTGTTTACCATGGATGTACTGCCATTTAAGCGCTTTGGGCGCTTAATCTAGCGCTTTTTTGGTGTATTTAGCACACATTTCAAAACTCTTTTATAATTTATGTCATGGCAGTACTGTTAGTTACATTACCGATAGTAATAATTATATTATTACTAACGATAATGTCTAACATTGGGCTGTAGGGCCCCGAACTGGAAAAGTCTGGGACTCGACGGACTGCATCATTACTGGCTGAAGGGGTTCGTGGTGTGTCACGCTGTGCTCGCCCGACAGGTTCAAAAGGCTCTCGACCAGGAGTCGCTCCCGAGCCTCTTCACTACTGGGATCACTCATTTGGTGCCTAAAGATCGGGATACCACAGACCCGAGCAAATACCGCCCCATCACGTGTCTACCCATGATATACAAGACACTAAAATCCATTTCGAGCGCGAGAATCATTATTCACCTGAACTCAAATCGCGCGCCCAAAATGGATGTCGGGGTGGTGGTCGTGGAACCAAGGAACCACTTCACGTCATTGGATAGGTGGTTAAAGGCAAGCGTCGGAACCTCTCCGCCACCTGGATAGACTACAAAAAGGCATTCGACTCAGTGCCTCATACATGGCTGAAGAGGGTCCTCGAGTTATACAAGATTGACTGTACAATTAGAGACTTCCTCTGGCAGTGTATAGGGCAGTGGAGTACGATCTTTTGTCATCTAGGTGAGGGGATGATGGCTGCGGAGAACCACATAAGGATAAGAAGGGGTATCTTCCAGGGCTATTGTCTGGTTCCAATCTGGTTCTGCCTCTCTCTAAACCCTCTCAGTACCTTACTGGAGGGTTCCGGGAGGGGATTTCAGCTTCGGAAAGGAGGGACAAAAGTGATCCACCTTTTCTATATGAATTATCTCAAGTTATTCGCCTCTAGTCGTTCCCATCTTATGGAATTGTTAAACATCATTTGTGATTTTAGCAATTCCATTAGAATGGAGCTGGGGACCGATAAGTTTGCGGACCTCCATGTCGAAAGGGGTAGGGTTGGTAACTCTGAGGGCATAGACTTATATATACCCATCTGGCTGAAACATACCGATACCTGGGTATGTCACAGAACATAGGTGTTGATGAGGCGGACATGAAACAGTCAGTTTCCGATGTGTTTTATGCACGATTGACAAAAGTGCTAAACAGTCTTTTGTCGGGTGTGAATAAGACACACGCATTTAACGGTTGGGTCATGCCTGTCCTCATATATACCTTCGGCATACTCAGGTGGACTCAGACCGAACTGAACGCACTGGATAGAGAAGTCCACACTGTTATGACGTCCCACAGGATGCATCACCCGAGATCGTCAGTAATGAGGCTGTACTTACCGCGGAGACATGGTGGGCGCGGCTTTTTGAGCGCTCTCACCATACATAATCGCGAAGTGTGCAGCCTCCGTAACTACTTTCTGGCGAGATCAAATGATCCATTGTACAGGGACGTCATTTCGTGTGTTAAAGGGCTTACTCCTCTATCCTTAGCCAACGAGCAATGGCAAGACCCAGCAGTACAGTGCATTTCCGACCGGGAGACCGTATGGAAGGAGAAGGAGCTCCATGGTAGGTTCTACAAGGCTCTACATGATCCTTTTGTAGACACAGTCACCTCCCTTCACTGGCTACGTTTCGGTGACCTCTTTGGGGAAACCGAGGGTTTTGTCTGAGCGATACAGGATCAGGTTATTAAGACCAACAATTATCGGAGATACATACTAAAGGATGGCGCCGTCGACATCTGTCAAGCTTGTCGCCATCCCGGTGAGTTAGTTAAGCATGTCATCTCCGGTTGTTTGGCGCTTTCTAATTCTGAGTATTTGCACAGACACAACCTAGTAGCCAGGATTCTATACCAGGAGCTCGCTCTGAAATATGGTCTCGTGGATCGGAAACTGCCATATTATAACTACTTGCCAGAACCCGTGCTCAAAAATGACCGCGCCAGACTCTACAGGGACCGGGGCATCATCAAAGAGGACTATTCTTGCGAACAAGCCTGATATTGTGCTGATGGACCGGGCACAGTCCAGGATATTTTTCGTCGACATTACCATTCCTTATGACGAGAAACTTGTGAAAGCCGAAACAGATAAGCTGACAAAATATGGCCTGGCTCACGAGGTGATTGACATGTGGGGTGGTCTGCTGACCGAAATTATTCCTGTGGTCGTTTTTGCGAACGGGCTAATCCCGGTCATCATCCCATCTGGTTAGGTTGTTATTTATTTATGTATTTTTATGTTTTTATTTTATTGATATTTATGTGTATTTATATCTTTCGTTTACAATTATATATTTATACAGCCCAACCAGATAGGTTATTATTATTATGGGTTATCTTTATAGAAAACTATATAGGTAGATAACTCATAATAATAATAACCTTTACTATTTTCTCCCACAAATAGTACATTGCAATTTATCTTTTACAAAAATATGTTTTACTTATAAATAAAACAAAGAATACATAAATTTGTGGGAGACGGGAGTGTAAACTAGGATACCCTGTGCTATGAATCTCCCGGCTACCCCTTTAGGATGATCAACTTGATTTTTTTACCGGTAGACTATAAGCGGATAAATGCTCTTTATTAAAATTTTCGTTCATATTTTTTACAATGCATTGGTTTGCTTTATTCAGTTTCAGTCAGTTGCTTAGAGCCCAGCTAAGTTAAAAGTTACTTAGAAATTACAACACAAAGAAAATGAAAACCATACTGCATTCAAATGCTGACATCGAACGTCGATTTAATGAACGTTGTTAAAAACTAAATTGCTAAATATATTGCACTTTAAACAATTAATGCCATTTAATTTTTCGTACAGGACTAACTGCTATTGACAGCAATAGGGTATTTTACACCATGTAAAAAAATCGAAGAATATATATTTATGATAGATTTTGTAAAAAGTAAAAGAGAAATATTGATTTCTATTTATAAAAATGCATTATAAATTTTATATTTCAATTTAAAGAATATTTTTTTTACCTTTGCCTCAAATCTGCAAAACGATGTCCGCCATATTAAATAGCGTCGTGACGTCATTAGGTCAAAGAACTAGGTTATGTGCTGTGTACTAACTAGCTAATTTCGAAATTTTTCAAGTTATCATTACGATTGTTGACTTTTATTCCGAATTTTATTGAAAAGACATCATGGAAGATGGATTCGTAAAAGCGAGTTTATTACTTCGCTTTTAGCACTAATGTTAGATACAGATATTATAAGCTTAGGTGAGAAAAACTTTTTGTTATATTTTTTTGTATAAACTCTCAGACGAAATAAAAAGTCACTTTTTTATTTGGTCTGAGTACAAACCATGTCTTTATTCCCATATAATAGAAGAAAACAGAAATTAAGTAAAACACTGCACTGCACTTGCAAGGGCTATTAAAATGGCCCACAAAAGGCAGGACAGACGAGCGATTAACCTAATCTATTACAAAATTTGACTTGCAATAGGTACCTATCAACCTATTATGTATCATGTATCGATGGTTAAATATAAGACATACTTACATCAAAGTGATCTTCACAGAAGTATAGTTTAGATTTTGTAGACAATACCTTCGGGTCTCTTCTTGCTAGTTTTAACCAACTTCTTAACCAACTTACTTCTCATATTTAAATCAGTTGGCACTTTAATCCATAACTTCCCCGGCGTTCTTATGCTCGTATTTTTGCAATCAGGCACAACACAACAATGATATAAATGATAACTCATTATTAAACATTCAAAAGTATCTTATTCCTTTGCAAAATTATCAAAATTCTACGACGGTGACGTCACGAGTTGAACAGTATGGCGGCTAGCGTTTTCACGCGAAAATTTAAAACGATTGATTAAAAGTAATTTTTATGTCAGTATTCGGTTTTAAAAAAATTATATAAAAATTATAGTGGTTTATTATCACTCCAGGATTCATTTAAAACACTTTTTGAAAATGGGTGTAATACCCTATTGCAATAATTATAAGCTTCCAGTCGATGTCCTCCGAAGTATTGGTACATCAGAAAAATATAGCCAGAAAAAAACTTAACGTTGTTTTCTTTATGATAACGAAATTAAGCGATTTGGTCGAACTTTGTTCGTGTTTTTTATTATAATTTATGATTCAATAACAAATATAGTTAATTTAGCGTGAAATCTAGCGCTTTTTTTAAAGCTATGTTTTCATGAAATCTAGCCCATTTTGTGTCGTTCTATCTAAACGTAGTGATTATATTCTCTTTGGTCCTATCGTTGAATGAGTTTTTTTATCTGGCAGCACTGAAACAGATAATAATTACTATTACTAGAATGTCGTAGAAATTTTGAGATTGTTCCTATATAAATTACTATACTCTTAGGAATATTGGATTGAGTGTTATTTTAATTTTTCATAGAGTAGAAAAATAAATATATACGGCTTACGGTTACGGTCACAGAACACTAATACCCGGGATTATTTTGTTTGACATTTGGTGATTTTGTGTAAAGTTTTTGTCTTCTTTTTAAAACTTAATAATAATAGATCCAGAAAGCCGAAGCGTGCTCTAACTAGTTAAAAAGGAATTTGTGAAACGTGCGAACCGTTAATCTGGCTGCTAATAGCGAAGATAAAACGCAAAATATGGAAGTGGATCAGTACACCAGTGTAACCACCGAATGGTCATATTCTGGCGAAGGATCACGGTTACCGCTCATCGACGAATCTTCTGCACTTGGGACGCATTTACCAAAGGACAGGTAATTTATTTTCCTTAATATTTTATCTAAGGCTTGAAATTTGGACTGTTCGTAAATACGTTTTAAAACCAAATATAGTAATCAGGTTTTACGCCTACAGAAAAACAATAATCATCTACTTAATTCCCACGCATTTAAAATCTAATCTTGGGTGAGGTTATTAATTTCTTATGTATTATAAAATGTAAAACATCCAGTTGAATAACATATCCTTCCATTCCAGAATTAGGAATTAATTTTATATTATAGCAATAACTTTTTATTCGAAAAGTTTTATTGCTTGAAGTGGGGATTAGAAATGTAAAGTTAAAGTAAAAAGTAATAAAACAACAATATAGATTAACTTCTTCATGTTCATGAAAGTTAACTATAGCCTTGATAAATGTGATAGTTTGAGTTATGTTACAATGGTGCATAAATGGTCTATTGAAGTTCACTATTAATATTATACTTTTTATTTTTAATATAATTAATAGAATCAGGCGTTACTTTGCGGAAATCCATTATATAAAAGCTTTTACAAAAATTTACTTCGCAAATATCCGCGTTATAAAATAAAATGATGTGTCTTACCTAGTATGAAGAAAGCACCTCCCGTCCTCCCTCAATTGCGTGCACTATCCCCGTCACCACTAATCCCAGCACCGCTACTCCCAACACCACTACACTAGGCAAGACACACCACTGACGATAATACGACACGTGTTTCGCCTCTACACGAGGCATCCTCAGGTGATATAGACTCTACGGTGGCTTAGCTTTCAATTGAGGTCCATCGAGTTGGGGGTTGATAATTTTTTTTACAGAAAGGTTACATTATTATTAGCACACACACAAAGTTTCAACATGTGGAAACAAACTTTTTGAATTTTTTTTTATTGAAAATCAATTATTTTTGTAATATTTATGTCAATTCCTACCGTAAAACTGATGCTATTTTGTATTGTCATTGTGATGTGGATTCATTCCGAAAAATATTGATTTTCGAATCAACCCGAATCGTAAGCTGATGTTTCGATACACAAAAAAATTGATTTCTAAAATATTGATATGTTTTCATGTTTGCATTTATAATGTAAATTTAAATCCATTTTATGAAAAACAGGAAAGATATGATAATAAATGATCTCATTGAAATTTGTTTTATTTTAACAGTACCTATTAGGGCAGATAACAAATAAAAGGCTAGGTTCAACTTAGTCAAAGAACCGAGTTGATTGACCCCGACTCCACCTGGTGCGAGTCTGTCCTAACCCTAGTGTTTTTATAGAGCCAGAGGCACGTAGGGTGAGCAGCCTACGCCTGCTGTAACAAATTAATGGAAAAGTTAATGGAAAGTTGTACCGCCCTTCCACCTAAACTTGACAATCTAGAATGTAATATTGCTCTTAATATTAAGAAACCATATATCGTACCCTTATTGCAAAAACTGATTATCTGCACCAAAATTTCAGCGAAACATTACAACAAACAAAAATTAAATATAATGATGTCAATTTTTATACGCTAGTCCTTTTTATAAACAAGAAACTATTTGAGAAATGTTAAGTAGGTTAATAATTGAAGAAAACTTACTAGATTTTCAACAAAAAAAAAAAGAAAATAACCGGTAAGGAGCTCATTTAGTTGGTTTTTTCTGAATGTAGAAAAACTGCCAAATTTCCAAAATTACCCTTCTGGCAGCTCTATTGGCATTATTTATTAAATCACTTGCTTTGAATAGTAAGAATCATCTAGACAGAAATCGTTTTAGTTCATCTATAGCCAGTACAGTTGTAAAATAATTATCTTTAGTTGGTTTTGGCTAAAGGTAAAGTAGATTTTATTTTATTTTGTACGTACTAACTGCCGCGCCCAGCAGTTTTACCCGATTCCCGTAGGAAATGAGAAAATTTAAATAACCTAAGTTATTCCTTATATTCTCAGCTATCTTCCATTGAAAGAACCATTAAAATCGGTCCAGCCGTTCCAGCGATTAGCACATTGAGCTCGCGACTTTACCCGTGTATATCCTGTTCCCGTAGAAATTTAGGGAAATGCTATATGTATAAACCTCCCTCTTAAATCCATCATTTATTGATGAAAACTGCATTAAAATCAAAACGATACATGCATACGAGTACATACAGAAAGACACGGCGGAAAGGGACTTTGTTGTTTATTATGTAAATATATAGATTCAATTTAAAAAAAAAAACAATACTTTGACTAAACTTTTTTTTAAATAAAAAAAAACAATGTTTAGTTTTCCAAGCTAGACAGAGAATATGTGTCATCAGTGTCAGAGAGAGTTGCAGATGGCAATCGATCAACACTGCTAGTGAAGCTAGCAGTTTATTTTATTTTATTAGAGTAGACATAGACCGGAACCACCAATGACACTCACATTTTTTTTCGATACGTGGTAGAGCCATGCTGCAGCTATATTAATAGTATAGTTGTAGCACAAATGAGTCGGCTTGACTGGAGAAGGACCACGCTCTCACAGAATACCAGCCTAAAATAGCAGCTTAATGCTGCTGTGTTTCCTATGGTGAGTGTAGAGAGGCGGAGACTCTTTTTACTGGAAAAGAGGCATTCTATCTTAGTCCTCACGATGACAACGCATCTGCATCATAATTCGCAAACGAAGATAGATGTAGATATCTATGGGCCACAGCAACCACTTACCGTCAGGTGGACTGTGTGCTCGTTTGTCACCCTTATTCTATATAAAAAAAATTATTCCAAGATTAGTTAGATATTTCTTCTTAGCTATGGATATAGGGAGAGGTCCGCTGTACAGTTGCTGTAAGGTAGGAAAGATAACTCCTGAACTGGATGGCTGCATAGATATTTCACTAACTACTTCTTGTTGCTTACACTTGTTTCTGGTTCAAACCATGTGGTTTGCGACATAAGGTCGACGACACACGACACCTTTTCCCAAGTTGGTTTCATGGATGTAGTAACATCCAATATTATAAACTCATTAGACATGTCGTAATTATAGTAAATCTTATCGTCTACTTTCATATAGGTACTTCATTAGTTTTAACCTTGAGCCAGTTCACTTTTTCACCTTCTGTGTATCTATTTCTATTATTATTACCATATCCACCAATACCTTGAAATCTTTAAATTCATTGTATTTAAGCGTTATATGGTAAGCGTTCTTTGTAATTTCATAACCTCCATATTTATAAACTTTTTTAGACTTAGCTCGTTTAATAACGTTTATCCAGTCAGACATACAGTAGATGTCACAATTTTTCTTCGATGTTTCTATGCACAGCATGGAGTCAACTTCCATGTAGCTGTGATCGGATTCAAGGAACTTGTGTTCTATTATGTCTATGTGTGTGTTTTGCATCATATTCGGACGCAATACGATGATTACGGTTTTGGCCGCCACACGTGTCTAAAAACAAGCTGACTTTTTAAATAATGACGTAAAATCTTTCCAATTTCAGCACTACCTTTTTTACCATGTATTTCATTCCAAACAAAACAGTAAGCTTCATTGGGAAGTGCGTTTTCGTAAATTTTTAAATTGTGAAGTGTCAATTTTCTTGTATAATAGAGAAGACCTTCATCAGTACTAGGAATTTGCAATATTGCTTGTAAGTCAAACGAAATGTTTAAGAAATCAGTTTCTTTTTCAACACTTTGTTTTTCCCGATTAAATGTTTCCTACCTTTGTATATGATCATCATAATCATTCTGTAGTTTGTACTTTTCTTGGCCGTTGGCACGCTTAAATTTGGTACATAAAAGACATTGGTCTTTTTTAAGTATTAAAGAACCTAAATTAAATTCTGTAGAGAAAATCCTTTGATATGTCATTTTTAATACAACTGGTTCGCTATTTTTGTTTTTGCATTCTTCTACGTAGAGAGCATACATTTTGCTTAATGTGGCTTTCTTATGCTAGGAAATTATACTATGTGCTTTTTAACGACTTCTACTATCTCAGGCGACGTTTTATTTGGAGGTTTACAACGTCCGCGCGGGTCCTGTTCTTTTGAATACTGTCCCAAACTATTGCGGTGCTTTACAGCATCTGCTATTACATGCGGTGAAGTGCTTAATGTTCTGCAAAAAATATCTTGGCACACATTTGTTTTCTCTCCTTCAATGATAAAGAAACATTGTTTAGTATACTTGCGCTGTGTAGATCGTTTTCTGCTCAAAAGAATCCTCTTTGCATGTTTGACTTCAATAAAACTCAATTGACGGCTCCGTGGCGCAGTGGTTTTGCAATGAGTTGCTGTGCTTGGGGGCGCGGGTTCGAATCCCGCACGGAACAAGTATTTGTATGGCGTACAAATAATTGCTCCGGGTCTGGATGTTTGTCCTTGTGCAATTTGTGTTTCTAAACTGCCTCCACGACACAGGAGAAAATCCTAGTGTGGTGGTTTTTCGAAATGTAGTCTAGGTTCCAGTATTTCCTGCACAATTCTTTACGAATATTTTCGGTTACATTACTGTTGCAGTCAAATTTGCACTTAGAACAGTTAATAGGCTTACAGAGTTTTGGTTCTCGATATTTTGATTTAGTTACGTATAGAAGGCCTTCAGCTCTACGTCTTTTCGCTAGATTCTTTCTCCATGTATCTCAACTCCATCGGGCATGTGCTTGTGTAACTTTCCAAGTTAGTTTAAATATATCTTCCGTTATTTCTTGGGATTATTTCCGTTAATGAATCCCATTATCTCGATACTGGGATTCATTATTATTAGGAAATTATTTTGGTTTGCCAAACAATAAGGCTATAGCTTTACTTCGCATTTCTTTAATATTTTCTTCTTTAGTTAAATATCTGTCTGGATTTAACAACTCATCCATTTATATAAATTCTGAATCCTCAGATTCAGGTGTGTAGGACGATCTAGATCAGAAAGTAAAGACGAAGGGTCCCGATGTTGTTGTTGGGTGTTTTTTCTTTATCACCTTTAGAGACACTCATTTTATAAAATTTCACTATGATAACGAATAATACTTTGTTGTTATTTTTATTCTATAAGCACGAGACAATCACAACGCGCGATTATCTATGCACAATTAAGAACCGCGTATAAAAAGCGCGCGTTGTAAGTTGCGTGCGCAATAGATGAATTTTAGCCGAAGCTAATTCAGAAACTGTCTCGCATGTACCTTCTGAAAGAAAAAAGTAAACAGTAAACAGTAACTGATAGTAGCTGAAGATATTTGGCAACTGTCGTAGCCCAGTTATACAGTAAAAGTAAACTATAATTATCTAAGTTCTTTTACCTGCAGTAACTTTATCCAAATATACTGTAAATTTTTCGGCAAAACGCAACTAACGTCGTTTAGTTTGTTTTACTGGTAGATACATCAGCAATTTCTAGTATATTAATAAAAAGTTAAACCAATTACCGCAGGTTAATATTTATTAACAGAATAATATCGACATAATAATAAAGCGAGCAACTACATATAAAAAGTGTTATAATACGAAACACTATTTTTGTGGTATATATTTAAAAATCTTAAGTATCTAAATGAGTTTAGTTCTTTTTTTAAGAAGATAATTAAATCATACTTGAAGATATTTGCTTTTAACTTTAGCTATTTCCATAAAAAAGCGTTGTAGCAAATAATAGCAAATTTTACCCGTTGGTTTGTCGTGACTGGAAGATTCGATTTATATATTTAACTTAATTTTGGTACAAAAATGCAGATAATCGGTTTTTGCAATAAAGGTATGATATACAAGTATAGAAAATTATTTTTTATACATAACTAGAGATGAAATGGATATCTGTAACTATCCGGTATTTGGCCTATTCAACCTAAATTACTATTTGACCGGATAACAAATGGCTATCTGGCCGGATACCGGATAACAAATGGCTATCCGACTGGATACCGGATTTAAATAAATACAAAATATCAAATTTAGTTTAGTACTTTATTTGTCACTTAACAAATATAATCAGTAATCACATAAATTTTATTTTAAAACTTAGAAAAATAGTAATTGTATAGCATGCACTAAGGGCAAATTATGGTGAATAAATAAACCACAAATTCTCGTGAAAGAACATCGATTCCTGCCAAGAATGATACGTGAGGCTATTGAGATTCCATTCTCATTATTTACCGACGACACAAATGTTTTTGAATTCAACTGCGAAACATGACGTATGAGCAGCGAATGAAAAAGCTTAATCTGACAACACTAGAGTAGAGAGATATTATGATGTACCTACTCAGCAAAATTTACTTACTTAATAGCAACAAACGTCTGAGAGGACAGCAACTCAAACTGCCATAGGGGTGCCAAGCAGAATTCTAGGAAAAATTTTATTACAAATTGTGTTGTCAACAACTGGAATAAGCTACCGTAAAATGGGATTGATGCTCCAACATTCAATGCCTTCAAGAACAGATTGGATAAAATCAACTTTTTTTTAATAGAATTAGGGTGACAAACGAGCACACAGTCCACCTGATGGTAAGTGGTTGCTGTGGCCCATAGACATCTGCATCTATCCTCGTTTGTTGCTTTTATCAAATCTTTGCTAGTGTGCTGATGTAATAATAATAATATTTACTTTTATTTTTTACATAACTAAATAATTTACCTTGTTATACAAAAAGGGTCCAAGAAATTGGTAAAAACATTGACATCATTCATATAACATTCATCATACTTTTTGATGAGAATTTTATTTATTTATATATTTATTATTTAAAGGAATATAAGAGTTTGCAATCAGTAATAGAAAACACTGTGTGTGTACTCATGTATCAAAACAGGTTCAGCAACAAGTTCCACCAACCACCAAGTTCACATTTTTGTATTATGTATATTTAGCAAGCACAGCCTAGGCAATCTAGGTTTTTTGTATCGTAGAACTTACTTATAGCAAATACAACAACTTACGTAACTTTTTACTAATTAATTGTGTCATTCATATGGATAACAGGTTAATTGCAGTACTGGATCAAGTTGAGATGCGGGTAGAGAGACTCAGGCGGGATACTGTGCGCATTGAAGAGGAACGCGATTCTCTGCTGTCCACTTTGGACAGTGTGAAGCACTCGGAACTCTTGGGCGACATATCGGAATGTATGTATTTTAGTCAGCATATTACAGACAAACAGACAGTTCAAAGTGTAGTCAGCATATTCTATTTAGTCAATGTGATTATTAATTTGATTAACATTAATGAGTTTTAGACATTCAATATATTTTGAACGTAATTTTATTTTATAGGTGATAAAGACGACATTATTCGGTACGCGGATCGCATCTTGGCACGCGCAATGACTGTGGAAGTGGCAGTGCGCACTGATCGAGACTCCCAACAAGAAGAGGCTCTGCATCAAGTAAGGCTTGATCATTATGTTACTATATTATTGAAATGTAAAGTCTATTTTTCCACTGCTGAACATATGTATCTTCAAAATTGTGAGGAATCAGAAATTGGATGCTGTATACAATTTTAATTGTTATTCAATATTATCAAGACATCTAGACACACGGCTGTGAGTCAGAAAAGTTCGGAAAAGAAAAGGACAACTCATTGACAGTATGTGTATTTACATGAACAAATTCGAGCCACTTTTGAACGAAAAGAATATACGCAAGGTCATGTATTCATTTTGGATCAATAAAATTATAAAACTTATCAAAAATTAATCACAAAAAAATATGCGTGTTCAAGTTCGGTACTAACGACTTTCGGGGTGGTCGGCGAGTTGAGGTTTGAACGGGCACCAAGCTCCATTGGCGTTCCAAGAATGTTTTACATTCCTATAGATCCTATGCTATAAGCAAATGTTCGGGTTCCCAGGTTCGATACCGGCCGGCACCAAAGCAATTGCAAATAAATTTAAGTGCTGACGTACTGAAATATTTTGAAGTTATTTAAAATCTCTGTCAAAATTCTCAGAAATGGCAGGTCTGACTGGACCGAAAGACCTGTGCCCAAAAAAGGCCTTATAAGACCTATGCTATAAAATTAAATTTTATTATAAAAAAACTGGGCATGCTGCATATCTGACATACAAGTTTCTTTGCATTTTTCCTTATTTATGTAATGAAAAATGGTATTCTTACGATATTTTTATTTATAATTGATTCAGTGGTTCTGGCATCGGAGACTGAACTCGAATTACTTACGCACGCCTGACGGGAAAAAACGACGCTAAATAATTATTATCTGTAATTTCTGCGCCGTGATCTAATACATTTAACAATGTAACCTCGCTTCAAGGCCGATTCTTTGTTTTATTATATGTACCAATAAGAAGCATGACTTTAAAGCTATATTTATAAATAAGATATCTTAAAGAAAGTGCTTGTCACATAACATTTTTATTATATTTCCAGTGTACGTAATTAAATGATTATCAATAGATATTACGGTAAAAACCATTTGATAAGATATTCTGCAACCTTTGTTACGAATATAGTTAATTAAATATACATAAGTAATTCTGTCATTGCTGGCATTGCATTGATTTTTTAAGTGTTGGTAACCTTGCACTAAGACGTTCATTGCTCTTGTCTAGACAGCGGCAAAGAACTTTTGTGTAGCATACATAAATAAATTGTTACACTGGGTATATGTATTACTATATTATAAAGATTAATTTTATACTACGTATTATATAATTTTATTTAAAGACTAGCTGTTTCCCGCGACTTCGCCCGCGCGTAATATATTACGAATGGATTTCATGGGTTTTAATTTTTTGTGCGGAACCCTAATTATTTTTCTAAAACAAATGTAACCGAAGTTACTTATTATAACATCAGCTATCTGCCAGTGAAAGTTCGGTCAAAATCGGTCCAGCCGTTTCGGGGATTAGCCGGCACAAACAGACAGACAGACAAAAATGTATAAAATCGTGTTTTTGTTATAAGTACCGTATATACTTTCATATGTATATAGTAAAAAACTGTTATCTCGACATTACAAACAGACACTTCAATTTTATTTATTTGTATAGATTAAATAATATTAGACTTTAGAAAAACCTAAACAACATGCACCAACTCAAGCTGATTGTTTAATGTTATTCAGGTGATCCTGATCAGGAGACTAGGATAAAGTTAATAAATGATTGTATATTTTATTATTGCACATTTTCAAGTCAATCAGCCGTCTACAAGTTGGTGAAAATGGCATTAAAAGATTCCTTTATATATATTCAGGGATGTTTTACAATAACCGGCGAATTTGCAGAGAATGTTCAGAATAAGTAATATAGGCAAATAGTGAAGATATATTAATTAAAAAAAGTCAAACATTCTGTCCTTTTTATCTTTTAAATTCAAAATGCGTTGTAATGCATTCATTTTCACTGATTTTACTGCGCACGCACACATTCGCAAGGGTCGATCGGTAGGCAAAATCGTTGCCGATAAGTCACATTTAATTTGGGACAATTTCAATTAAAAGTTATTATTATTATATTAGCCCTATTTACTACTAACGGTATATCATTATTTATATATTTGAACTTAAATTAAAATTTGGCTATTCTTTGAAAAATAACACTGTATAGATAGTTAGATAGATACACGCGATTCTAAAAAAAACGTGTTATAAAGAACACTTTTATATGTTTATTTGAAAACGTTTTCACTTGATACGTATAGTATTTGGTACATGACTTGCTACATCCAAGTGAATTGCTTACGCATTTGTTCGCAACCACAGACATCAGAAGTTCCTTCATCCGTAGTCGTAACGCTGCGGGGCTGCGGTATCGAATCCCGCACGGAATAAATGTTTGTATAGCTTAGATTTGTGTCTTTTTGCAATTTATGTATTTAAATCGCCTCCTATCTCAACGATCTCTTAAAAGATCTCATAAAATTAGCTTTTTCAGACGAGATTCTATCAGGTGAAGGATCACGTCTCAGATCCTATCGATATGTTATCACTGACAACACGAATTGGTTGTACAGTCTTGATTTACACTCATCTTTTCAAGTTTTAAGGCACGTACACATGTGTAGTAATGTCCCGAGCTACCCTGGAGGCCATACAAATACGTAAAGCAAAACCACTTTGCTACCGAATCGTCAAAAATAAATGTACTTACGAGGGCGGCACTGAAAATTTCGGGAATCAAAGAAGTGACACAAAATTACTATTTAAAAATGTATTTATTGCTCTTCGAAGTATTCTCCGCGAAATTTGACACATTTTTCCATACGATGGAACCAATCTTTGAAGCAACCATTCCATTCGGAAGTTGGGATCTCCAAAATGGCCGTTTTGTCCACAGCTTCTTCAGGTGATGAAAATCTCTGTCTACGCAATTTATTCTTTATTTTAGGGAAAGTATAGAAATCATTAGGGCTTAGGTCGGGGCTGTACGGCGGATGGTCTAATAACTCTATGTTTTCTTGCTCTAAAAACTTTTGTTCTGTGTGCGGTGTGAGAACTCGCATTGACGTGATGGAGGATGATGCGGCGGTTGCAGTTCTCTTTACGGAGTTCAGAAACGACCTGTGGCAAACAAATGCTAGCATACCATTCTGCATTAACCGTTCTTTGTCCCTCAAGAAGAATAGTCGTAACATGGCCGCTTTTGGAGACAAACGTGGCCACCATTTTTTTGCAACACTCCGTGAACGAACAATTTTTGTTGGCTTTAACTCATTTTCGAACACCCAAACTCGTGACTGGTTTTTGTTTCGGGTTCGTACGCGTATGTCCAGGATTCGTCACCTGATACGATGTTGTATACAGCATTTGAGGATCCTGCGTGGAATCTTTCGAGAGTTCTGACGCACCAAGTAACGCGAGCCGCTTTTTGCTCTTCACAGAGCAAATGCGGTATCCATCGGGAAAACAACTTTTTACACCTAATTGTTCATGCAAGATTATTTGTATTTGACTCATGCCAATGTCTAAAGTTGCCTGAATTTCGCGGTATGTCACATGTCGATCTTCCTCAATCAGCTTACGCACAGCATCAACGTTTTCTTGGGTGACTGCAGTTTTTGGACGACCTTGACGGGGATCATCACTGAACTTGACACGTCCACGTTGAAATTCAGCAAATCAGCGATAAATTGTGGTTTTGGATGGGGTTTCATCACCAAATGCAGAAATCATCCGGTCCACACACTGTTTTTGTGTTAAACCACTTCGAAAGTCATAATAAATCATCGCTCTTGAATTTTCTCGAGTCAATTCCATTTTCTCAACGACTAAACAAGTTTGACAAAACCTTGTGACAAGACCGAGAATCTTTTTTTAAATAAATAAATGGTATTCGATTTTTAAAACCAAGGACTTTTCAATTAAAAAGATTTTAATATGACAGGAACAGTGGAAATATTCCATTCCTGATACTTTTAGTGCAGCCTATGTATACATTATTGGTATCATAGAAGAGGACATGCAAATAATAAAAGCTTGTCTATTAGTGAGTGGTGGGTACAGTGTACAATGGTGGTATAATATGAGAGTAAAAATTATCTATGTTGGTTGCTGCATAATTTTATTTTATTAAATCATCTTGGGAACGCAAAAATGAAGGTCCTTTGTCAATTATTTGCTTATAATTCTAAAACTACATTTACGTGGTAGAGCCACGCTGCAGAGTATTATAGTTGCGGCAATAATCAACCAACGTGAAATAGCTGTTATACTGTTGTGTTTCGTATGTTGGGTGACGAGGACCGGAGACCTTTTTTTATTGGTAACGATTGTGGCGGCGCGTTAAATCGCGCTAACAAAGTTCCGAAGTTAAAGCAGTATATATAGAATAGCTCCGAACTACAACTCGAAGCGTTGGCCGATCCCCGGGCAGAACACCTTGCCCGGCGGGAAATCTCCTCTGTTCCTTCCACCTGCCACACGATCATTTCATCTTAGTACTAAGGCACGACATCTTATCTGCATTTTGATTCTTAATCGAGGATAGATGTAGGTCTCTACGAGCCACTGTATCCATTTATGATTAAATGGACTGTGTGCTCGTTTGTCTCCCTTATTTCTATTAAAAAGGCCGCATGTTAAATTTGTCATTTCTTGTTAATATGTGGCAATCGTAATTTTATTTCACAATAAAATTACGTGGTAGAGCCATGCTGCAGTTATATTTCTGGTATAGTTGTAACACGAATGGGTCGGCTCGACCGGGGAAGGACCACGTTCTCACAGAATACCAGCGTAAAATAGCAGCTTAATGCTGCTGTGTTTCGTATGGTGAGTGTAGAGAACCGGAGACCCTTTTTACTGGAAATGAGGCATTCCATCTTAGTCCTCACGGGTGACAACGCATCTGCATTTTGATTCGTAATTCAGGATAAATGTAGATGTCTATGGGCCACAGCAACCACTTACCATCAGGTGGACTGTGTGCTTGTTTGTCATGCTTATCCTATAAAAAAAAAATCAATTTGAATGAAATGTGAAAAATATAAAGTAATTTGCATACAATATACTAGCTTCATAAGTGTATTGTAGGCGCTAAGACAAAGTGTATTGGAGAATTAAAGCCAATCCTTTAGATGGTATTAAATTATGCAGAAATCATTTTGTTATTTTTAGTTTTTGGGTAAATCCACGGCAGAGAGTAAAAAAGGCGAAAATTTTTTTGTGAGTATTTTACATTTTTTTCATAGTTAAACTGTTGTCAGAGGGTAGTAGTAAACTATTATGAAGTTTGTTCCCATATTTGTTATGTGTGTCCTTGACAATGAAGCGTCATTCATTACTCTCAGCAATTTTGTGAAAGTAAGGTGTAAAAGCTATTAAAATATCATAAATTAACTAAAGTGTAACAATTGGTAAGTACACCTACATTTTTTATAATACGTTGGATAATGTGTGTAAAACTAAAAACTTATTCTTATTTGATCAAACTTATCCAAAGATATCCCCATTTGAAAATCCGTTTGTTATTTGAAACGCAAGTTACCATTATATCATATTATTATAAATTTATCGTGTTACATTAATGATTATTAATGATTAATAACTGTTATGTTTCTCTTAAATATAGTTAAGGCGCATACAATTATCTAATTTGTTTGCTTTTACAGGATAGAGTTTTATTTTTATTCGCTTAACAACCTTGTTACGAAAGTTACCGGTAACTTGCGTTACACGAGTTTAATAACAGTTATCTTTACAATATCATTTTAATTGCAGTTGCTATGCCACTTAGTGCTGCAGAAAAGATGAGAAGAAGAAGAGAGAAGTTGAAGGAGCCTGGTAAATATGATGAATATAAAGAAAAAATAAAACAAGCTTGTCGTAAAACTAGACAGAAGAAAAAAGAAGAAATTGAGCGCATACCTTTATCGAAAAAAGCAAAAGTTATTATAGAAAATCGAAGAAAAACCAAGGAAAGAGTAAGAAAGCATCGACTTCAGAAAAAACAGAACGAACAAACAAACACAATTGTAAATGAAACTTCTATCCGTGTGACACCACAATCCATTGGTAAAACTGTAGTTCGTGCTCGTAACGCATTGCCTGCTTGTCCCATAAAAAAGCAATTGGTGCTTGGAAGACTTTTGGATGAATGCCCGAAGGAAAGCCCTCCTACTATGCACGGTGCATCTGGATTAAACAAGAAAGTCATTTTTGAAATACAAACATGTTATCAGCGCGATGATATAAGCCGCCAAGCACCTGGCTTAAAAGATTATGTCACAGTTCGCAATGAAAGAGGAGAGAAGGAAAAAATGCAGATCCGGCATTTATTTTCATCAGTGACTGAAACCCATTCACTATTTGTTCAAGAGCTTGGGAATATTGTGGGACGAAACAAGTTTGCTGAGCTCCGGCCAAAGCATGTTTACCTGTCCAGCAAATTGCCACATAATGTAAAACAAATTTAAAAACAAATACGTCGCCGAATACATTAAAAATCTCGAAGAAAAGCATAGCCTGCACCTGATGTGGAACTACTTTGCTACATCGCATGGTAAAGGCCCGGTTGATGGAATTGGATGAGCATTGAAAAGGACGGTAAGGAGCAAAGTCTTAAAAAGAAAAGCAATTGTGCCGAGCAGTTTGCAATAGCAGCAAAAAATTCAACTGTGAAAGTGATCGTGGTTTCAACAGAGGAAATTGAAGAACGAGCACGACTTCTACAATTGGAAGAAAGTTTTGTAAAGGCTCCTGGCGTTCCTGGAATAGCTAAGTGTCACATAATGTTCTGGAAAAATAATATGCTCCAAAAAAGTCTAATATCAAAAGATTTTTATGAGAAAATCGAAGAAAATGTTGGGGCTAACGATTCATGGAATGACGATGATAACCTTCCCTTATCCGAATGGAAAAACAAGCATTCATAAAGTTCAAGTTGGAAGTAACGCAAGTTACTATTTTCGTGTAACGCAAGTTACCGTTGTTTTCTATTTTTTTTTAATTATCTGTAATAAAATAATTACTATTTGTTGATTAAAATACTTTGACTCGTGACTTAATCGACTTTATTTTATTTTTATTTTAAGTTATATAACTTTAAAGTTAAATAAATATTCAATTAAATAGAATGAGGTCACAATGTAGTCTCTAATGTACAGACAAAGTAAATTAGATAACTTTTAACAATGACATAAAAGAGGTTTGTTTGCCGATCAACAGTTCCAAATGTAACGCAAGTTACCTTGGATTTACCCTTTTGTATTTTAATTATAAACCAATCTTAATAATTTCCAGGTGAATATGTACATCGATCAGCTGGTGATGTCGGTGCACGAAGATGCGGTCATAGCGCACACTCGGTGTCAGACCTACATGAACGCCTGCACTTCGCAGCCCGACCCCTGCTCGGGCACCGACAAGAACTTCGAGTCCGCCATCTTGGGCTGCACCCTTGATGATCAGAAAAGGGTGAAGAAACGCCTCCAGGGCCTCCTTGACTACTTCGCTAAGCTTAACATCACAACTTGTACGTGAGATGTGAGCTCGCTCGTTAGTTAACTGCACGTTCGCTGAGCGTTTTTCTCAACTGCCAGCTTCATGTTTGTTTATATGTGTGGACGTAGCAAAAGTTTCGAGAGATACAGACGTAGCTTGCAAAATTTACTAATGCGAGAATCGATACTTTACACTTCACTTATTTACCTGTTTTCTTTCTTTAAATATTGCTACGTCTATACACTGTTTATTCCTAAGCGTGAGGAAATGTGTTTCTGAGGTATTTCGTTTTGTTAAATGCGACAAAAACATAGAATAAACATTAAAAACATAAAAACTATCACTTAATTTTTGCATTTAAAATATTCATTATCTTATTTTATTTAAATATTCTTTAAAATGTATTAGATAACATTTTTTACCGAAAAAAAAATAGGATTAAATACGTGGTCACAGTAGAATCTTTATGGCATAGGTATTTTTCATTAAAAGAACTTGTAAATTTTGAAAAATTGGACGTAGTTATACAAAAACGTTCCAACCCACAAGTCATTCAAAATGAGTTCTTCTTCTTCTTTACTTTTTGGCTTCTCTTAAAAGAATTCTGCCAATGTCAAGTCAGTCATGGGAGTGACAATCAAAAATGAATTGTGGGTTGGAACGTTTTTGTATAAGTACGTCCAATTATAAAAGCGATTAAAAATAACGAAATTCTTCTTCTTACACGTGTCAAGTATTAATGAGTTTGTAACGTTAATTTCGAATTCATGGTATTTATTGAGAAATCAATTGCATCAAATGACAATAAGTATTAATAAAAAACTATACCATAGGCTTCTATATCGTTCACATGTTACGCCCTATTTTTCCTTTCGGTGAAAAAGTCCAGTATAAAATATTTTCATTTTAGTGGTAAATGCTAAAACTATTTTTTTAAATATGAATACACTATAGAAAATATACGTAATATGTATATTCTCCAAAACTAGTTTAAATAGTTTTACCACGTTTTTATGTCACTTTCTAGTTTGTCTATCGCTCCAGGTGGAATTTAGTCAATGATTTTAAACTAACTTGCCAATGAGCTAGAAATTTGAAATTTTCAATATAGCTCAAATTCGGATAACAATGCAAGAATATGATTTAAAAAAAAACGTGGTAAAAATTTATTTCAACATTATTTTTTTTATTTACTTGTACACTTTCAAAATAAAAATAATTTTTACTTTAAGTATTTTCTAACTTATGTTCCTTTCATAACATATAAATATAAAAATCTGGGTGATATACTTTTATTTTTAAGGTTATTCGGGCTCATTTGCAATGATTAACCTATCAGAGACAGATCCTCATTCCAATTATACTTATTTTAATCTACGATAAACATCAAGTTGGAGTTTAGAGTACGACTTATTCTTTGGATGTTGGTACGTTCTGCGACGCCCAGTACTTTCTTTCGTTTGCTGAAGTGTGTTAAATGTGAATTTCAACCAGCTATACTTCTAAGGTTATATGAAACCAATTACTCTCGTAACTTCAAATATTATTGTAAAGGTATTAAAGAATATACATAAATTAATATTCAAGCATCATTATAGGTATGGTGTTATAGTTAGTGAACGCAAATAAAACATGAAAGCATTCCTAGCGCCAGAAAGTGACCCAACACAAATTGCCCTGCGTTGGGCATTGTTTGTCTTGTGCCTGCGCGATCATCTAAAAGATAGCTCCGTATTAGTACATTTCAGGCAGTGTACCAGTTCACTATAATAGTGCTGTTCGTTGTAATCTCTCAGTAGTTCTCATGGATTGTCAAACAGTTTTGAACGCTAGTCTTGATAATAATATTTGATTATATTCTGTCTTTAATCGATAATTTTATCTCTGTTGGTTGGTCTTACGTTATTTAAAAGTGAATATATTATTTTCTATTTCGTGATAGGTAAGAAAAGTATAAAGTTTGACAAAAAAAGCTGAGCACACTTGGAATTTGATGACACCATCAACAATATCAATTAATTAATCAATCTTCATGTAAACAAAATACGAAATCTCATTGACGCGCTCATCATATGCTTCAGAATGAAACTCGCGTTACTAAACCCTTTGCAAATTCCAGCCACCTTGTACTCATAGTTCCGTTTCACACCGGACACAGCGCATGAAAAGTGGAAGGAGCGTTTAACCGATTGACAAGTAAATACCGACTATATGTCTTCTGATCTAAGGGTTATTTTTATTATCCCACTAAGCGCTAGGCACGATTACGTCACGTTAAAAATGATATCACATTTCTTCTTTTAGAAGAATTAGATTATATTTTTATAAATTCAACGAAGGATACAGCAAACTTAAAACAATTTAATAATTAGTACCATCACCCTAATAGTTCATAAAACTTATTATTATGTATTTTTTTCATTGCACCCTATTACAAAAAAATCATCCCAGGCGTGGAGTTAGGAAGACAATGGCTTCGTAAAAAAAATTATATGCTACCGGTAGTTTAATGTATGGCAATTGAAATAAATAAAAGAACATTTAAAATCAGGTCGACTTTCACTGGGAGTTTCGTGTTTCTGGTAGCTAAACAGCGTTGGAGTTCCAATGTGTCAGTACGTTTGGATTTTGGGTCAAGATGCGCGCTTAATTCCCTTAAAGTAATATTACCATGTTTTATTTATTGTGTTCACTGATTCGTGTTCTAAATTTTAGAATTGCTTTAAAAATTACTTAAAATACAACATCACGATCACCGTTATTATAATTTCATACTAATTTTGTTGGCATTTAAAAAAAACCTTTTCAACATGATTCCATTTAGTTTTAATAATGTAAAATAAAATTTATTTTGTTTGTGATTTCCTATGTATAGATTCTTTATTAACTTGGTGAATATTTATTAATAAGGTAGTGCTTGGAAAGATGAAAACTGAATGTGATGGTAAGAAATGCTCAATGAAGAAATCATAAGATTTGTTATGAACAGCTGAAATTGATTCAATTGTTTTGACAGAAATGTCTGGGTCTTCAAAAATAATCGTCGCTGAAGCTATCAGTCCGAATATAGTACAGCCACATTATATTATATACGAGTAGACAGAACATTGTAATTTTATTTTCCTTTTTGAATATATTTTCAAAATGTTCGAGTTAGGCCTCAGAATAAATTATAGTACCAACATAGGCTACCAATAAATAATAATTTAATCAGTTTTTTTATCCATTTGTTTCAAAAAAAAATTCTAATTTGTCTACTACATTAACGTTTATTCACACCAATTTTTTATTAATTAGACTTGATGTTACTACCATGGGCGTAGCTAGTGCGTTACTTTTACTATTAACGGGCATCAACATACAGGTGTTATGTGCTGTGTACAGACTTACAGACTTACGCAACGTAATATGCAATGTAACAATTCTTTGTTGCATTTCATCAGTGTGAACGCATCGAGCGCACGAACCGAACATACAGTCGTCTCTACTCGCGTATGTTCCCAATCCAATCAATCTGCTGAGAACACGCGAAGAGAATGGAGTGTGACGACCAATCGGTGACTCTGAAGATTTAAGAAAAACGCCGAAGACCGTCGCCGTTGGTGGCGAACAGAGCTACACAGACAGAAAGCTGGTGCAGAGTTAATAGCCGACATGAGATTTCAATTCGTGTTCGCGCGCGTCTCTACACAACCCGTGCACACTGGCGCTCCGAGCACACTGCGGCACTGCGCGCCCCTTTGCTTTGCGTTCGTTCGAAAAACCGACAAATCACGGATCGCTCCGCGCGCGACTTGTAATGCGCGTAGCATGCGCATGAAATGCACAGTTCCCGCGCGCAAGGCGTCCAGACTATAAAAATTTGTTACATTGCATGATACATTACACTAATATGGACGGCAAATAATTCTTTCATTTCCTGTTACGTTGCTTAAGATTGTACGCAGCCAGAGCGAATAGCTATTAAACAATGAATACAAACCAACCATAGCCTTTCCTACCGACGTTTTGTTATAAAATCCATCGAGGCCATTTTGACGTTTGCGTACACCACCATGGTGTCTGTTAAGTACGGGCCTTACTAGCACATTTTCATACTAAGGCTGTCAATTACGGCCCTACTTGATTTAGGTTTCGAGATTGAGGGTTACCCCACTCATACAACAATATTTGTTGTAAATAAAAACTTACTTACCTTTCTATTGGATTTCAAGCCAATTTTTTTTTTTCATTATTTTAATAAGGGTTATTTATGATACGAAATAACAAAATGTATTGTTCATTATTTTTACTTACTACGGGTCACCATTTGTCATCTTGACTGGCTACGACAAGATATATGAATGGGCGTTGCACCCAGCATCTACGGAACTACTTTTGGTTACCACTAGGATTTTCTCCTGTATCGTAGCAAATATCCAGGCCCGAAACAGTTATTTGTGGACTATACAAATTGAGCTTTCCGCATGAATTAAACTGAGTATGTAGAAATATAGAACTGATTACCTACAGTGAAAACGTTATCTCGATCCGGCTAAAAATGGCGAAATTACTGCGATTTTAGTGGAGCGGTTTCTACAAACTCATTTAAAACAGCGCGCCATTCGCGTGACGTCATCATTGGTCATCCTTCACTTTGTTCCTACTTGCGGCCAGCCTCAGCCCGTTGTTCGGTAACTTAATCTTTTAATAAGTAAGTACATGTTTACTACCTATAAAATGAAATAAGTATCATACTGATAATAATGTAAAACGATAGCTACACTTAAGTACCTATTTAATATATATATATATATATATATATATATATATATATATATATATATATATATATATATATATATATATATATTCTTACCTGTTTATTTTGTCTCCACGTATTTCTGCACTGGAATAATTAGCATTATTTCTGTAAAATTCGTCCACCATCAACAAAAAAAGCATCAACCTTCGGAAGATTGTCAGATTGAGCTTTAACAAATCCGGATTCCATGTTATTTTAAAATTACCTTAATAATATAAATATCCTTACAAAATACATTTAATTTCAAAACAGGCAGGTAGTTTACAACCGCAAACAGTGAATTTTATTATGATTGAATGTGGTAAGAATGAGTCATATATACAGTAATCTATGGAATGAGTGTTCAGTTCAACGCAACCAGAATGAGAGTGAACGATGACGTCATCGCTCGTGGCGGCCGGCGGGCGCCAAGTTTTAGATGAAGCGTTTAGAAAACTTGTAATGATTTCATAATTTCTGGACCGATTTATGTCATTTAAAAACTATGACCATCTACAAAGCATAATACACGTAACTAAATAGGTTAAAGTCCAGAATTCTGTTAAGTGCGAAAAGCTCGTTCTTGTTCCGTCCGGGATTCAAACCCAACCCATTTCAATGTCTGTTGTCGATCTGATGTTGTTCTGTCATGTTCCATATATGAGGGAGATGTATTTTTAGTGGTGGTCTTGTAATTGGCTGCAATGAATGAATGTATGAAAGTTGTTGTAGATGTTCCGCCCGTACCGAGGCTAAGTAGATACTTGAAAACAATAATCTGGTTTTAAAACCTTAACGTCCCATATCTAATGATTGCAACTTTTTGTCATATTAAAATGATAAAAGCACTATACAGTTTTAATAAGAACTGATATATTGATAATATCCGTAAAATAGAAACATAGTTAAAAAAAAATTATACGAAAATTTAGTAGCGGTTAGCGTGGTCGTAGTTTTTTTTTAATAATATTGATGTAGATGTTTTAACTCAGGAAGGCGTGGTTGGTCTTTAATTGTGTGTTTAGGATTCAGATGTACGTGCACATTGTTTCTGTATGCGTAAGCTCGGGAACGTTAAATATCACCCGAACCTATGTCACGCCAAAATGTAGCGTTGAGTACCATCAGCATGAAAAATAAACATAAGCAAATTATACATGGCTTAATTGTAGCATGTAAAATACGTGATTCTAATTATGTAATGATAGCAAACTGTATCATTTTCTCAAGACGGAGCATGATGAATTCACGTTAAGTCATCGTGAACCAAACTACATAAATATAATATAATGTAAATAAATTTGTAAGGTGATAGTGAAGATAAAACTGACACGGTGGACGAGTGTAGTTTAATTTGTATGTGTATATGATGTATTTAAATAAATATTAAACACGAAAATTATAAAATTTTACTGCTGAACGATACACTGATCTAACTACTTGTATTATTTAGTTAGCTTGCTAACGCTACCTGCGTATACACATACAACTATTTCCCGCCCGCCTTCGTGACTTAAAACATCTATACTTGCGTACTTTTATATAATAATATGTAAAATAAATTTTCTTTAGTTTAAATTGTACTGCTAGGTACTAATAAAGAGGTAAAGAATGATCAAATAATTTGTAACTTAGTGAAGTTATTTTATTAAATACTAAACGAATGGTTATCTTTACATTATGCTACACACCAAGTAAGCACATTCATGATTTATTATTGAAGGTTAAAATACTAGCTAGGAATGAAGACATGGGTGATTTATTTAAAAAAAAAAATGTAACGGCACGTGCTTAAGTCGCTTTTGCACGTGTTGCGGGGGCTACGATTTGAGCATTAAAAGTGATTACATGTGCATTTTACTCTATTTGTACGATCTTTTTATTGTATACATCAGTGCTTAAATACCTGCAACTAAATACCAAATTGTATGTTACACTCTTTCTTAAAATTTCCGTCGTTTTAAACAATAAATATACTTATAAATCCTGGAGTTTTATTCTTAATATTCTATTATAATTGAGTTACATTGCTGTTGTTAGCTCGCAATCAAATAAATAATTTTGTACAGTAATCTACTTTGACTTATTTAGTATGTAGCATTAATTTGGTTTTATTTTTTGGTCTGTGGACTTAATGCATAATGAAGTAGACTTTATGTCTTACTTTTCTACTGCCATTTTGGTGTTTTTTTTTATAGGATCGAGTGACAAACGAGCACACAGTCCACATGATGGTAAGTGGTTACTGTGGCCCATGGACATCTACATTTATCTTCGTTTCCGAATCAAAACGCAGATGCGTTGTCACTCGTGAGGACTAAGATGGAATGCCTCTTTTCCAGTAAAAAGGGTCTCCGGTTCTCTACACTCACCATACGAAACACAGCAGTGTTAAACTGCTATTTGACGCTGGTATTCTGTGAGAGCGTGGTCCTTCCCCGGTCGAGCCGACCCATTCGTACTACAACTATACTACTAATATAGCTGCAGCGTGGCTCTACCACGTAATATAATCATCATCCTCAAGTTATATAATCATCCTCTTCCTGTCCTTCTCCCAAATTATTTAGGGTCCGCATAATATGCCTCCCCTCCCATTCTCCTCTACTCGTATTAGTCGCCATAATATCTTCACTCACTCGTCATCCCTAATACAGTCCATCTTTTCTTAAGCCACCCTCTACTCTTATATTCATCTACTTGCATAGCCAACCTATTTCTTATGTAGTTTTAAGAAATTTGTATGTAACGTTACTAAAATAACTTTTAATTCTATTCTGAATTTTTGAGTGGGGCTCATTAAATCATTAATTTTTATTTCCATCAAATTCAACATAGATTGCATCATAGGAGGTACTTGTGTAATTACTATAGTTATCATGCTTAGCAGCCGGGTTTGCAAGAGCAGTTTTTTTAAAATTATTATTGAGCTGTTCCCAATCTACATTATTGAGTCATTCCCAACACCCATCTCCTGTTTCAATTTCCCTGTCGCCTCTAGCTACCCGCGGGATGGTGGCGATAGGTAGAATAAAATAAAACTTTGAGAAAATAATTTATTACATATTTTTAAGTACATACAAAATAATATATTTACAAAACCTAATATTTCATAAATTCGTAATTATGTGTTTGTCTATTCGAATTTTAACAAAAATATTTACTAACAAGAAATTAAAAAGTATGTGATTATGAAAAATAATATTTTTTGTTTCTCATTTAAATTGTAGGATTTTACCAATAAATAATTATAAGCATTTTGACTCCTTTCATAACAAATATACTAATTTGAAGGAATTGAATTATTGTAACAAAATATTTTGCCTAATACATACAATAAAACAAACACAGTTTGTTTTTAAGCCGCCCATTACTAGGCAGATTTTACGACAGATTTGGTTATTACAAATAAAAAGTAAACAAAAAAGAATAACTTAAAATTATCCGATCTTCTAATTTTGTGAATATTTTCCACTACGTACAAATAATATTTTGTAATTAAAATCTATCAATATATTCTATTGCACGGTGCGTATAATTTTTACACGCTTACGTATTTTAATATGTATTAGGTATATACACTAGCTAGTAAGTATATATTTTCTTGGCAAATGTGCAGGGTTAATTTATAGTACTTATTAACACCTGTATTAACATATTACGACTACATAAAACTTTTATAAAGTTAAGTTTATCGAAATCACCGCGAGTTTCATGCATCAGATTAATTGTTATTTTTAACCAGTTTTTTTTTAATTCAGTAGGTAAATTAAATCTTAACAATTTAACACGTCTGTGTATTACACTATAAGTAACAATTGTAAGTTATCTGTGTTAAACGGTATTAATTTGGGAAAAAAAGTTCATTTTTATAAAGGAAATGTAGAAAATTATAAGTTCAGAAATTAAACAAAAAGTTTAAGTTTTTAGTTCATCACACATACTCATCACAGTATTCTGCAGGCGTTTTTGAGCACATTTTTCTTCTTTCCTCCAGGGCGGTGCTTGGCGGGCCGCAGCAGAATCGTTCCGTTACTGTTGTGGTTTGTAAACGTACCTGTTGATTGTAAATTTATTTATATGTAACTCATTGCCATATTTCGTAATATTCTAATATATCAAAATTCTGTCATACGTTCCACTGTTAGACACAAATCTTGCTTTTTCAATAGAGTTATATAGTATAGTCCGCCGTGCTGCTCCAATGCGTGTTGGCGGACTTCACACGTTGAAATGATCAATATATAATATACAATAATAAGGGTGAAACCAGTACAGTCCACCTGATGGTAAGTTAATGCTGTGGCCCATTGACATCTCCCTCTATCCTCGATTAAGAATCAAAATGTAGTTGCGTTGTCACGCCTGAGGACTAAGATGGAATGCCTAGTTTGCAGTAAAAAGGGTCTCCAGTTCTCTACACTATCCAAGCGAAACACAGCAGCATTGAGCTGCTACTTTACGCTGGTATTATATTCTGTAAGAGCGTGGGGCTGCCCCGGTCGAGTCCACCCATTTGTGCTACAACCATAATATAGCTGCAGCGTAACTACAATGCTTACGTATATTGACGCGAAACTTTATAGGTGTATCTCTCTCGACACGTCAAGGTCAAAAAATTTTGTGTTATTAAAATGCCTCTATCATAATCATATTGCACTTATACGATAATATGAGTAGCTGTGTATCAAGAAAACACTAATTAATTCATCTTATATTTTCTTAAAAATTATTTTATATTGTTACTTTGAAAAAAAAAACGGTTTGAAAAAAAATTACGTGGACGTCTGGATTGGTCTGGATGTTGATTTTGTATGTGGTCACGACAACTTACAAAAAATGATGTATCGAGACCGGATTTTTTTTTTATTAGCTTCAGAATTACATCAATAGGTTCCCTATTTCATATCAATAGCCTAGTACGCCTAGTTTGTTAATAAAATAATTTTCAACTTTTATAAGTTTTATTTCTATTAAAAATTTCTAAAAAAAAAGCGCTATCATATATTTTTTAGCATTTGATAGGACAAATGTACTATACAAAGGACAAATGTACTATACAGTCTATATCGAATTTATACTTTGTGTAATCGATTTATTTTGGTAAACATTTTTTCCCCTGTAGGTAACACTATAGTCTGTCCAGAAAGTCATGAAATGAATATTTTTGGAACTACTGCTTTTGCTTGCACTGGCAACAATAAATTATTGTCAAACTGAGTAACTCAGCTGTCATATCTTAGCTTTGTAGTTGATGTGCTCTAAGATTTTTTGTTATATTTCGAGTTTTTCTTATTGTATGACCGTTTAGTCTTTAGAGATCAAAAATGAAACGCAGGTTTTATAAGAGCGGTACCAGACAAGTCATATGTTCAAAAGTGTATGGCCGAATTTGTATATTTTATATTAGGATAACCGGGAGGTCCCGAAATCTAAAGACCCCGGATGGCGTCCAGCAGATGTGTTTATTTATTCCCTTTTTTTCAAGTTCCTTCTTTTGTAAGCGCCGTCCGTGATGCAAAGCACGACACTAAAGAAAATTAAATTTGAGTCGCGCATCTATCTCTAGTAACTAGTATTTTCAACAGTGGTAGAGCCACGCGGCAGCTTTTGCTGTTGCACGGATGGGCCGGCTCGAACCGGGGTGGTACCACGACCTCACAGAATACCAGCGTGAAGTAGAGGTTTACCTCTGCGTTGGTGAGTGCAGGTGGCCGGAGGCCCTTTTTACTGGAAATGAGGCATTCCATCTTAGTCCTCACGGGTGACAGCGCATCTGCATTTTGATTTGTAATAGAGGATAGATGTAGATGTCTATGGGCCGCAGCAACTACTTACCATCAGGTGGACTGTGTGCTCGTTTGTCACCCTTATCCTATAAAAAAAAGTATACATACAGTAATCTATGAAAAGCATGTACTTGAAAAAATAAGATAGTAAAGGGACCATAATATTAAATCAGCTTATAAAATAAAATAAAAAGTATCAAAACTTTTGGTTGTAATCCATAGGGATGCCATATAAAAGATAGTGGCGGCCTCCTTTTTTTTAAGAGTTTCTTGACAGAATGTACGTGTTAAAATAATAGAACGCTAAAGAACATCGGTCACGGCCCATACATACTGTGACCTGGCTATAAAATATCGCGAACATGACTAGTGTATGGATTAATCCGTTCCCCCTGAGCACAATCTAAATCCTAAATTGAAAATATATTATTTAAAAGCCGAGGATCATAGAAAGTTACACTTATGTATTTCGTCACTTTTGAGGTTATGATGTAGCCATCACTGCAGCCATGACTACAACCTCAGCTAAAACAATTGATATTAAAACTATGCAGTGATATATACTTAACTAAATAAGTCAAGTCAATGGCTAAAACCACAAAATTGAATCAATAACCTTTCTAATATTTTCACTGCTAAGGATCTAAGACACAGGTGTTTTGACTTTTGCTCACGCTTTGACAGCTCTCGTGTCATAATACCACAGACTGCATAGAGACACTCATAGTACGTTCCGTTCTAAGTATTAGTGCATTCTATATTTACTGTCAACCTATAATTTGCAACTTATTTCGGAATACTTTCCACATCCCCATCTAAAAATGACATCATTGATAATACACTACAAAAATGAATAAAAAATCTACAATAAAATGTAATATTTAAAAAAAGTAAACGCATAATAGTAGTGTTACTTTAGTGTTATAATGAAACGTGTACCACAGACAAAAACGGGACGGGTTTAGATGCGTTCAAAACCTATAAAAAGTAGTAAGGAATTGAGGTTTAACATTACAAAGATAAATTATTTTACCGGATCCAATAAAATTAGTTGGACCCCGTAAATATACACCTAATTCACTATTTTGTTACGTATCAATTATCGGTGGTTGTTTCATATTTTGGTCAGGTCGTATTTGGCCGATGTTCTTTAATACACGTAAATAGGTAATATATTTTAAAAGTCAGGAATACAATGTTTTTTTCCATTAAAATTATTGAAACGCTCATGAGGCGTGCACTTTTGGATTTTCCAAACTATTTATATATTACATATACGTAATATATTAATATACGTAGGGGTGTATAATGAAGTGACCGCCGAGCATGTGGCAAATAAGCCGACTTTAAAATTGCTGTCGGCGGGGATCGAACCCGTTGTGCTTTCCCCTTCTACTTCGTATACTTCGAGCACATGTGACGAAACGAGAGGGGAAGAGTCTGCCCAGCAGTGGAAAGTATGAAGGCTGTAACTATACCTTTTAGGCATAGGTATGTATCCGTATTATTTACTGAAATACCTATAATATGTTGTGAACCAAGACCAAGTGATTAATAGGGCATTATTCATAATGCCCAAGCAATAAGAATAATGTCCAATATGAGTAGGATATATATAATTTTACTTTTTATCATCCCATATATTTTACTTTTTACCATCATTTTTTTTTCATTTATTCCATAGAACAATATTATATTGTATTGGAAATTTATTACATGGATAAAGACATTTACATGCAATTATTTTAATTAAAATTAGAATCGATAAAAATTTAAACATCATTTAACAAATTAATTAAATACTTTTGTCTTCATGTCATAATACACTACAAATTACATTAAAAATTATACAATACATAAACAATAAAAATTAACATTGATTAAGTTTATCTTTGTCATTTAAGTAATCGTCAACTGAGTAGTAGCTTTTTTTAATTAATAAAGATTTTAATTTATTTTGAAATTTGTGGTGGCAATAAATAGTTTTAAAGGAGGTAGGCAAAGAATTAAATAGTCCAATGGCTTGATATCTTGTGCTGTGGCGTACAACATTCAATGTTGGTGTGATAGAAATTTTTAAATCTTTCCGGCGGGTCATATCTCTCTTTTTACTTTCTTCTTTACTAAATAAGTAAGTGAAACTAAGATATACAGAGAGGGGACCGTTAATATGCCAAGATTTCGGAAATGTTCCTTACACGAATCATATATTATGTATATTTCTGTTTAGCCTAACGGTTGACGCGATATGTACTGCTTTGTGCATAGGAGTATAAATAATTAAATAAGAATAATATTAATACCTATGATGCAAAACTAGGCACAAGAGAGAACGGTGAGCTGAAAGTAGGGAAATTTGGAATAGGGCAACGGAACCCAAGGGGCCAGCAGCTGGCCGACTTCATGGAGAAAGAGGGACTCTTTATGATGAACTCTTTCTTCCAGAAGCGGCCCCACAGGAAGTGGACCTGGTCGAGCCCCGACGGTTCGACAAAAAATGAGATTGACTTCATTATGACGACCAGACGACAACTGTTCAGTGATGTCTCAGTGATCGCGAGGGTGAAAACCGGCAGCGATCACCGAATGGTTAGAGGCACACTGAACCTAAACGTTAAGTTGGAGAGGTCTCGTCTAATGAAGTCAACGCTCCGTCCCCCTCGTGCTCTAATCCAAAGTCCCGAAACCTTTCAGCTCGAGTTACAAAACCGTTTTCAGTGCCTAGAAGACTGCAATGAAGTGGACGATTTGAATGACAAGCTCGTGGAAACTGTCCATGCGGTCGGAGCTAAGTTCTGCAAGACCCGCCGCAGAAGAACACAAAAACTCTCCGATCACACTCTTAATCTCATGGCTGTTAGACGGGAGATGAAGCTACATTCTTCAACAGATTTAACAGCATACAGGCAACTGAACAGACAGATCTCCAAATGCATGCGGCGGGACTTACGCAAATTCAATACAGCTCGTATTGAAGAAGCGATCGAGCGGAACCGAGGCTCCAAAGTCTTTGCCAGAGATCTGTCTGCCAGAAAGCGCCAACTGTCAAAGCTGAAGACAGAATGTGGCAGCATCGTTTCCGGGGCACCTGAGATTTTGAGTGAGATTGAGAGGTTCTATGGGCAGCTGTACACGTCATCGTTGGAGCCGCACGCAAGTGTGAGTAACGATCCAAGAGCGAGTCTTATCCGACATTATTCAGATGATATCCCGGACGTCAGTCTGAGCGAGATTAGAATGGCTCTCCAGCACCTTAAAAACGGCAAGGCCCCAGGCGAGGATGGAATTACAGCGGAGCTTCTGAAAGCGGGTGGAAAACCGGTACTTGAAGTCCTTCAGAAGCTCTTTAATTCCGTCCTCCATGGTGGCATTACACCGGAGGCGTGGAGCAGAAGTGCGGTGGTCTTGTTCTTCAAGAAAGGCGACAACGCTCTCTTGAAGAACTACAGACCGATTTCCCTTCTGAGCCGCGTCTACGTGCTGTTTTCGAGAGTCATAACGAATCGTCTCGCGCGCAGACTTGACGACTTCCAGCCTCCCGAACAAGCCGGTTTCCGTAAAGGCTTTAGCACCATAGACCGCATACATACCCTTCGGCAAATTGTACAGAAGTCCGAGGAGTACAATTTGCCACTATGTCTGGCGTATGTGGACTATGAGAAAGCCTTTGATTCCGTCGAAATTTGGGCGGTGCTGCAGTCCCTTCAGCGATGCCAAGTTGACTGTCGGTATATCGAAGTGTTGAAGTGCTTGTACAGTAGGGCTACGATGTCTATCCGAGTACAGAACCAGAGTACGAAACCTATCCAATTGCAGAGAGGTGTAAGACAGGGTGACGTCATATCCCCGAAACTCTTTACCGCTGCATTGGAAGATGTTTTCAAGCTTCTGGACTGGAAAGGATACGGTATCAACATCAATGGCGAGTACATCACTCACCTTCGATTTGCCGACGATATAGTCCTTATGGCAGAATCGCTGGAGGACCTAAGCGCTATGCTCAATGACCTCAATAGTGTTTCCCAACGGATAGGTCTTAAGATGAACATGGACAAAACAAAGATCATGTTTAATGTCCATGTCACACCTATGCCGGTAGTTGTTGGGAACACTGGGTTCGAAGTTGTTGACGAGTATGTTTACCTGGGACAAATAGTCCGACTAGGTAAGTCCAACTTCGACCGAGAGGTCAATCGACGGATTCAACTCGGTTGGGCAGCGTTCGGGAAATTACGGCACATCTTCTCGTCAGGTATACCTCAAAACTTGAAAACGAGACTGTACACCCAGTGCGTGTTGCCAGTGATGACATACGGAACAGAGACGTGGTCCTTCACTGCTGGCCGGATGAGGAAGCTCAAGGTCGCTCAGCGAGCTATGGAGAGGGCTATGCTCGGAGTTTCTCTGCGTGATAAACTCAGAAACGAGGATATCCGCAGTAGAACTAGAGTGACCGACATAGCCCAACGGATTAGTAAGCTGAAGTGGCAATGGGCCGGCCATATAGCTCGAAGAACCGACAACCGATGGGGAAGAAAGGTTCTCGAGTGGCAGCCTCGTATCGGCAGACGAAGTGTAGGGCGTCCCCCCACTAGATGGAGTGACGACCTGGTAAGATATGCAGGAAGTCGATGGATGCAGGTGGCTCAGGACCGTGCTTTGTGGCATTCTTTGGGGGAGGCCTATGTTCAGCAGTGGACTTGTGAAGGGCTGTAATGATAATACCTATGACTGGTGTGGCGGTCGGGAGCGGCACATCAGCGGCGTCTTCCCGCCGCATGTCGGACAAGCAGCGCGCCGCCAGCGCCCTGAACACTGCACCTACGTTCACATCCTCCTTCACAGAGGCCCGCATCAGCCGGCAGCCCAGCGCTCGTGCCACCAGCTCCGCTTCATCGCTGTTGGAAGTAATAATGTTATGGTCAATGTTTATGATCAAGTCCTACCTTATCCTATAGGCACTGAATAAATAAATGTACTACGTCTTATAAGTGGATGGACATAGGATCTTTCTTCACCCTTTACTCTAGTCCGAGGGTGCGCTATCCTATAGAGCGCAGAATGAGCGAGTGAGGGATGAGGATGACATTGCGACAAGCAGTTTAAAGACAGATGCCAAAGAGGAGGAGCTCTTTGAGTTTTGATCTTGATACGTTTACAAGTGTTGTAAAATTAAATTATATAGTTATTTTATATTAATAAAATAACTTGTACATATTTAATTTTATATACGAAAAGTCGCAAACGCCATAGGATTCTTAATTAGACTGTTGATAATCATATTCTCTTGGTAGAATTCGACTGCATTAACTTCCGAATAATCGGAACTTATCAATTGCATAAAAAGTATTGCAGGGTAAGTTATACAAAAATAGGGACATTTATTAGTTTGTACCTTATCTGAGTAAGTACCTGTGCAATGAGATCAAAGCTAGGCTCGGATGATGAAAAAAGGATAATTAACCAATACATTCAGACGATAGGGTCTTGTACAAACAAGATATAAGTTTTTTTTACATTAATATTATGTGGGCGAACTTTAAAAAATGCAACCTTTGGAGTATTGATGTTGAGAAATATCATACAAACTCCAATACACAAATATATAGTTATAGATTCAGAATTATCTGCTGCGAATGATGAAACCAAAAACCACATGCATGGGGCTACCAAGCAATTAGTGAACGTGAGACGTATAAAAATTCTAATTCTCATCGAGTCACCGAACGACAATTGAAAATAATCCGGCTCGGAGGGTTATATTAAATGAGGTTTCATACTAGCTATGAGAAGCAGTGGTGAAGGCGCGAAATGTCTGGTCATCACAGCCATTGAAATCAGGAAAATACAATTGATTTTTTTAAATTATCGTTTGTATCTTGGAACAATTTTTGCAAGCAATACAAATACTAGTTCCGTGTGGGATTCGATCACCACCACAGCCCCGGAAGAGATTCATATTCAATATTAGGCACACAAGGGGTTATGAGGAGAAGTCTCAGCGATCATCTCAATCTTTTAAGAGGCTAGGCCAAAAAAATAGTTTGAAATTCAGAATTTATATTGTTAGGAATTTACCGTAAAATAAAAAAGCTGTACTTACGGTCCAACAACGCACTGGTCCATCAAATCTATTTTATTTTGCACTATTATTGTCGGTATTTCACCGCACTCATTCTCCACCTGGAAAAAAAACCGTTTAACATTTTGATATTCCATTTCGATAATAAAGAAATTGTCAGCTGTCTCGTGTATGCACGTCCAAATAACTTAACACTTTTGAGAAGGTAAGTAATGAAGCAAAGAAGCGTTCGCTACACTGCTCTGGTGCTTGTTTCGCCTCCAATGTCCTCGAAATAGTTTTTAAAAAAATATGTAAGTTATGCTAATAACATAACTAAGTACTTGTTCACGTTAACTCGCGAGTACAGTGGTTGGCGCGGTTACGCAATATCAAACACAGCATAATATGCAAGTATTCGCGTACAAAACGCAGGTGAGAAGGAAGGAACGGACAAGCTAACGTCTCCTTTTTGCACTTCCATAGTCGGATAAAAAGTAGCCTATAGATTGACCAGGGTCGTTAAGGACATACATACCAAGTTTCACGGAAATCTGTCCCGTAGGTTTTTCGAGTGTAATGGTATGTAGTATGGTTCCAGTTTGTAGACATACCCTTAACCACTAAACTACTGTCGCTTCAAATTGTGTCAACGTTTTAAATTTCTGACAGGGCAAGCTTCCTTATATTTATTTTCAAAGAAAGTGTTAGATCAATTGTTACGGACGGCGAAGGGAGCCGCCGCCCCGTCGCCCCCTCATACCCTGTTACGCCCCGCACGATCGACACACCGCCCGGACATAGGTCTGTTAAGCTGGAATGGTCATTTGAGCAAAATCACTTAAATTTTTGCTAAATATTTAGTGCTCATTTAATGCTAATTTAGTGCTGCAAATTTAAATTTCACGCCAAAATAGCTTGATCAAAAATTAGAAAACTGCTAGCTTTTAATTAAGCTAGCAGTGTTCTACCTATTAAAACGATAACCGCTTAAAACAGCACCAAATAGAAGCATGAATAATTTAGTGCTCATTTAGTGCTGCCGATATACGCAAAAACAAATATTGGGAAAATATATATTTTTTTAATATGATAAATTCTGCTACTTTGACATCTTTAGCAGAGTATGTAAAGAAAAAATTGACATCCAAGTGGATTATAACCTAATGATATGAGATAATAATTTAGTGCTCATTTAGTGCTGCCGATATACGCAAAAACAAATATTGGGAAAATATGTATTTTTTTAATATCATAAATTCTGCTACTTTGACGTCTTTAGCACAGTATGTAATGAAAAAATTGACATCAGAGTGGGCTATCACCTAATTATATAAGATAATGAAATAAGTGCTCATTTAGTGCTGTCGAATTACGAAAAAGGATTTGAGAAATTATTATTTTTAAATACCGTAAACTGCTACTTTGACATCTTTAGCAGAATATGTGATGAAACAATGACATCCAAGTGAATTATCACTTAATGATATAAGATAATAAATTAGTGCTCGTTTAATGCTGTCGATATATGAAAAAGGATTTGAGAAATTATTATTTTTAAATACCGTAAACTGCTACCTTGCCATATTTAGTAGAGTGTGTACTGAAAAAATTGACATCGACGTGAATTATCACCTAATGATATAAGATAATAAATTAGTGCTCGTTTGGTGCTGTCGATATATGAAAAAGAATTTGAGATATAATTTTTTTTAAATACTGTAAACTGCTACCTTGGCATATTTAGCAGCGTATGTACTGAAAAAATTGACATCTAAATTTCCCAAATCGATTTTCGTATATCGACAGCACTAAATGAGCACTAATTTATTATCTTATATCATTATGTGATAGCCCACTCTGATGTCATTTTTTTCATTACATACTCTGCTAAATATGTCAAAGTAGCAGAGTGTTTGGAAATAAAAAACAATATATTTTCCGAAGTTTTATTTTTGCGTATATCGGCAGCACTCAATGAGCACTAAAATATTATCGTACATCATTAGATGATAACTCACTTAGATGTCAATGTATCATCACCTACTCTGCAAAAGATGTCAACGTAGCAGTTTACGGTATTTAAAAATAATAATTTCCCAAATCCTTTTCCGTATATCGACAGCACTAAATGAGCACTAATTTATTATCTTATATCATTATGTGATAGCCCACTCTGATGTAATTTTTTTCATTATACTCTACTAAAGATGTAAAGTAGAAGAGTTTATGATTTAAAAAAAAATTCCCAAGTTTTGTTTTTGCGTATATCGGCAGCACTAAATGAGCACTAAATTATTATCTCATATCATTAGGTGATAATCCACTTGGATGTCAATTTGTTCATTACATACTCTGCTAAAGATGTCAAAGTAGCAGAATTTATGACATTAAAAAAATATATATTTTCCCAATATTTGTTTTTGCGTATATCGGCAGCACTAAATGAGCACTAAATTATTGATGCTTCTATTTGGTGCTGTATTAAGCGGTTATCATTTTAATAGGTAGAACACTGCTAGCTTAATTAAAAGCTAGCAGTTTTCTAATTTTTGATCAAGCTATTTTGGCGTGAAATTTAAATTTGCAGCACTAAATTAGCATTAAATGAGCACTAAATATTTAGCAAAAATTTAAGTGATTTTGCCCAAATGACCATTCCAGCTTAACAGACCTCCCGGACATCACATAATGCTTACAGCCAACGAGCGCACAGCGACGTCTATCCACCATATCAATAATGGAATTATTCATACCAGGGGTTGAATTAAGGACTACTTTTCTGCCCAGGACGGACAGGACCAAGACGGACTGGTGGGTATCTTTATTTATTTTTTATTTTTATATAGGATAAGGGTGACAAACGAGCACACAGTCCACCTGATGGTAAGTGGTTGCTGCGGCCCATAGACATCTACATCTATCCTCTATTACAAATCAAAATTCAGATGCGTTGTCACCCGTGAGGACTAAGATGGAATGCCTCATTTCCAGTAAAAAGGGCCTCCGGCCACCCATACTTGAAATGGTATGGGTACCACCTTTTTACCTAGGTCTCTTTTGAGTGTAGAGACAAAGTATAATTAGTACTAGGCTGAGAGACATTTCATCCATCATTTTTAACAGTGGTAGAGCCACGCGGCAGCTTTTGCTGTCGCACGGATGGGCCGGCTCGAACCGGGGTGGTACCACGACCTCACAGAAAACCAGCGTGAAGTAGAGGTTTACCTCTGCGTTTTGCTTGGTGAGTGCAGGTGGCCGGAGGCCCTTTTTACTGGAAATGAGGCATTCCATCTTAGTCCTCACGGGTGACAACGCATCTACATTTTGATTTGTAATAGAGGATATATGTAGTTGTCTATGGGCCGCAGCAACCACTTACCATCAGGTGGACTGCGTGCTCGTTTGTCACCCTTATCGTATAAAAAAAAAGTCCCAGCACCGCTTCTGTAGCCTTCTTTGTTTGATATGGACCAGTCCAATCCAGTCGGGAATTGAAAATAAGCAAAAATATACACGATATTTTTTACGTGGTAGAGCCATGGTGCAGCTATATTAGTAGTATAGTTGTAGCACGAATGGGTCGGCTCGACCGGGGAAGGACCACGCTCTCACAGAGTACCAGCATATAACAGCAGCTTAAAGCTGCTGTGTTTCGTATGGTGAGTGTAGAGAATAGGAGACCTATTTTACTGGAAAAGAAGCATTCTATCTTAGTCCTCACGGTTGACAACGTATCTGCATTTTAATTCGCAAACGAAGCTAGATGTAGATGTCTATGGGCCACAGCAACCACTTACCGTCAGCTGGACTGTGTGCTCGTTTGTCACCCTTATCCTATAAAAAAAAACCGATAAAATCCGTAAAATATAGTTTTATTCAATGTGTAACGTTCGCGTGAATGTAAGAAATCATTATATTATGAAACTATTTTTAAACCGATATACCCCAATTTCTTTATAGAAGTAAGTGTGACCAACGAGGTCATGTTCCACCTGGTGATATATTATGACCTAAAATGTTATGACCTATAGTTACTCCACATCTATCCTCGATTAAAAATTAAATACATAATTTATTGTTACTTTTGAGGATGAAAGTGGAATGACTTAGAAAACGTGTCCGGTTATCGTCACTCACAATACGAAAAACAATATTTAAAGTTGGCATACTGCTTAAATGTTGTTCTTCCCCGATCCCATTCAGCCCATTCAAGCTGTAGCATAATACGCTTTGCGTAACTTTACCACGTGTAGTTGTAAGTATAATTTATGCGTTAAACAGTAAGTACTTACACCAATTAATGTACAAAATATTAAGGAATTTAAAAAATAAAGTTATTTGCAGGAAGAGTTGGAAATTCGGATAACAATGCAAGAATATGATAAAAAAGTGATATATTAAAAAAATTATACATTTTTTAAATTACACTTCTTTCCTTAGTGGAAGTTCAAAGCGCTACTAGTGTAGGTACAATTAATTATTTTTTATTAATTTAATCAAAATACTATGATAACATTGACACAAACTATTCCTTGCTAATTAATTTACAAAATTCTAAGACATAACATTACCTAAAATTATCAAACAATCCAATAGCTAATATAGTAAATATAAAATTGGTTTCTTGCTTAGGTGCCCTTTTTTTTGCAAAAGAGTTTATACTTAAAATTATTGCGTATTAGTGTACTAACAAACTTATCATACTTTTGTTAGTTACTGAGTGTAACTTTAGTTTATTATATCTTAATACAAAAGGTTAAATAAAAAACACCACACAATAAATAGATATTGTCGGTATATGTACATAAATAATAATTTATAAACAAGTTCTAAGAGCAAAAGAAGAAAATAATAAGAACAGACATACAAATATATATTGTATTTAATAAAAAATACAGGCAAAAAAATTCTTACAGTACTACAGTACACTAACGTAATGTAAAGAGAGAGAGAGAGAGTAAGTTTAAAAAACGTTACATTAATATTTCATATGAAAAATAATGAAGCTTAACGAAGTGGACAATCAGGCTTTCCTTCCCGTCCCGTCATTAACTCGATACCGTTCACAACGGATTGCACTTCGTTATAACTCGGTAAGTACTTAGCGAGCAATACACCTCGTCCACCAGAGGAGCAGTTAATACCAATTACGTAGTTGTCGTTGATTTTAATAAATATGTACTTGTACACTTTATCACAGGACCTCATTAGGTGCTTAACTTCTGCGTTACCATAGTAAATGAGGTTCACTAGCTTCCCTGTACTGTTTCTGTAATTGGAATGTACGACAGTTTCATTTTCGCCGATTATGTCGTCACAGTCATCAACGGCGTCATCTATTTCTTGATCGGACATGCTCCTAAAGTTTAACACACCACAACTGTCCCTTTCCCTTTGTATTGGAGGCCAGAAGTAAACGGCGTACCACTGATTGCCGGGTAATTGGTTCAAGTCGAAGTTAACGCCGGTTCGGTAGTAGTTGATACATTTTTCTTCCCTTCGATCGTTCCTCATGCAGTTTACTTCGAATAATACACAAGCAAAAGCAAAAGCTATTACTAGGTGTTGTATAATATGCATTGTGCGAAATAATTCACTAGTAATCTTGTACGTAATTGTAAACTTTATGCTACGAAATGAGTCCGAATACAGATTCAGAAACATAAACATCCCGTTTTGATTATGTGGCATGCGATATGTGATATTCTATTACAGGGCTTCTTAAATATTTAAATTATAATTTTAATAAAATTGGATAAATTAAAAATATAACAAAATGACATTATAGGATTTAGACATCGATCACTAATAGAATACTAGATACACAATCAGTGACAAAAAATGTCCTTACCGGATGAGCGCCCACTCGAACATTTGGGTGCGCTTTTAATTTGTACGCAGCTTTGTGAATACAATAGGCAATGCTTTTAAAGTTGAATTTACAGTAATGTATATTTATTTGAACTAGAATTACGTCAAAACGTTTGGCGACAGTAAACCTCCGTAATTACTCCTGTTTTCAAGACTATTAAAGGGGATATGCATCTACGAAATAATGTTGATAATTCGAGGACTATGTGTTATGATGAGAGCAAATTGCAAGCTATTGAACAAGGACAAATTCTATTTTATTTTTGGAAAATATAAATGTTTTTGAATAAAAGTACGGAAGCTATAATAGAACCTGAAACCATCATTGATGTACAGGTGAAGAATTAGATGACTGCAACTGCGAATCGATAGTTTTGTAACGATTTATGACAAAAAATTTATAAAATTGTAAGGACTGGAACAACAGCTAGCTGTTACTTTATTATAATGGAACTTAACACGAAAGTAAGTATTGAAAGTTGTTTAATAATATTTTTTTCCTTTTTTAGGTTATATATTTAATGCACAATATAATCAACAACACTTTTACGTTCGGTACTCATTTTTGCAATATAGCAGGCCATTGTTTAAAAACCCCTGTTGTAATATTTGCTCTATAGAAAGTAGGTATGGATGTCGATCGTTGACAGTTTGGCGCTCGGCTTACGACCTTGTTTATCGTATGATCCTCTTTTTTATATAACATGATTTAATGCACGCTCATTGAATCAACGTACTAAAAGCAAAAGTATTTGGCAGCTATTGTCACTTCCAGCGATTCAAGAAAAGTTTTGAAGAGATAGCGTCCTTTTTAATTTATGACTTATGTACACACACACAGTTATTATAATAAGCTCTTTGTTTCACACTTGGCCGAGAAATTTAACTAAGTGCTTGAAAGCTTTTATGTATTTTAAGGTGCGAGAGAGAGAAAGAGCGAGAGGGGGGAGGGGGGAGATGTCTGGAATCGTCAACGTCAATCCGCCTACAAAGCGTGACGATTAAGGAAATTCTTCCCTACAAAGGCGGGTACCCATGTCCAGTAGATTTTTACGAGCTGATGATAAATAAGAAGATTGCACGTTACCAAATAGAGCATGCTTATCTTCGGCCATATGTTGCACTTGGGCTTTTATTCGGTCTCATTCGCTGTATCTGATTCTGATTCGATGATAACTTTAGTTTACTTATTGCACTCATACTTGCTTAAACTTGTAAGTTCTTTTTGAATGATGAAATGAAAGAGAAAAGAGAAAAGAAAAAGCAAATTTATATTGCAGATGTGAACGGCAGAGTCGGGAAGGGACGCTCTAGACGAAGGTTTATCGACCAAATTGGCGATATATTGAAATTGGGTCAGATGGTACCCTTAACCGACGAGCATGTATGCGTAGTTGCGTAGGTATATGGATGTAAAGGAGGCGAGAGAGGTGTGTCAGGATAGTGCACAATGGAAGTCCGTAGTCTCTGCCTACCAGAGGGGTGTCAGGCGTGAGTGTTTATGTTCGTTTTCACAACGTGAAATTAACGTTGAGGTGACAAATGTAAAAAGTACATATAATTTAAAATTGTTTTTTTTTTCATATAATAAGGGTGACAAACGTATACACACAGTCCATCTGATAGTAAGTGGTCACATCACAGTCACTTGTGGACCATAAACATCTTAATCTATACTCAATTAAGAAACGTCAGATGCGCAAAATGTTGATGTGTTGTCACCTCTGTGCCTGTGAGACGACTCATTCATACTACAACAAACTATGATATTACAGCTGTAACGTGGCTCTAGTACGTATAAATGTACCACCTTAGAATTAATGTTTTATGTGCATGTTACTATAATAATGTAAATATACTACTATACCTTCAACTTCCAAGAGTGCAAAGCAAGGAAGGAATCCCTATCTGTGGTAGAAAATGCGAGGACACATGCGTGAGCGCCTCGGTAGTATGCCTTTGTGATAGCATCAAACTCCTCCTGGCCGGCAGTGTCCCACAACATAAGCCGTACCTCTTCGCCATCGATCCTGGAAAAATAATGGGGTTTCACTCATTATTTTTATAATAAAATACGTTATAACCTAAAATTGTAACATTAGGAAATTTTTATTTGGGGAGGGGGGATCAAATTCAGATTTCTATTTTCGAGTTGTTATAAGTTTATTACTTTCTAGTAGTTATAGACAGAAAGACGCTGCTGTCTATCTATTGATTCGTTTCCCTCTATCTTTTTTTACGACACACACGGGACGATATAGGATAGTGGATATTCTTACACCGTCAATACACGCTAACTGTAGTTGTTGGGAGTATTACGCTCAAAGTTGTTGACGAGTCATCATCATTATCATCATTACATCAAAGTCAAAGTCATTAGAATTTAAGCCTCCCGAAAGAATTCCACAAAGCACACTCCTGAGCCACCTGCATCCATCGACTTCCTGCATGTCTTACCAGGTCGTCACTTCATCTAGTGGGGGGTCGCCCTACACTTCGCCTACCGGTACGAGGCTGCCACTCAAGAACCCTGCTTCCGCGTCGGTAGTCGGTTCTTCGAGCTATATGGCCGGGCCATTGTCACTTCAGCTTACTAATCCGTTAGGCTATGTCGGTTACTCTGGTTCTATTGCGGATATACTCATTTCTTTGTTTATCACGCAGATAAAGTTTTAAGGTTTTTAGGTATGCCTGACGTGATGCGTTGTGATCTCCCGAACGCTGCCCAGCTGAGTTGAATCCGTCGATTGACCTCTCGGTCGAAGTGTTGACGAGTATGTAAGTAAATAAAGTACAGCCTGTATACGTCCCACTGCAAGCATTGGCCCACTCTCATTTCTAAGAGTGTTATGGAGCATCTTGTCCACTGCGCTGCTTCAGTGTGTATATTGGCGGACTTCACTTATCTTCGAAATATTTTTATTCCTGAGATGCAGGTTTTCTCGCAATATTTTCCAGGCACGTTACCACGTGCTCGGCACTTAAAAATGCAGTTGACATTTCATTGCTGCCGCTGGGAATCACACCCGGGTCGTTCGCGTAAATTGAATGTCAAAATAACTTTACGATTGACTAGCTGATACCCGCGACTTCGTCCGCGTTGTTTACACAAATCACTGACCACGTAGTGCTTATAAAAATCGTTGTTTCTTAAAACTTTAATAACTTTATATTAAATTAAGATATCGTAATAACTTTTTTTATATAAAGACTAGTGTCTAAGAAATAAAACTTAGAAAACATAATTGAAATCTAGTTATTCCGTGATGCGCGCACAACTGCAAACCTCTATCATTTTATTTATATAGATAACGGATAAAATAACTCGATGTTTATATCAAAATCGGATCATTTGTTACGTCGTTTCCAGTAATACTTTACATATATAGAGTACAGACATATAATGCACAAAATCGTGTAACTTTTACGTCTTTAAGGCTGGCTTTTCACTATGGGATATAAGGCTTTTCACTATGGGATATAATATATATTATATCCCGAAATATAAATTATATCCCGCGATTGGCTTTCACACTGTAAGATATATCTTTTAACCAGTGCGCGTTTGTCATTGGTATATTGACATTGGATTACCCCCTTTAACCCGCATACCGTTCTGCGAGGGCGCGGAACGGTGTGCGGGGTACAGGGGGCGAAATATAATATGAAAATATCGCTCGGTCGATCGAAAAAATATTTATAGCTTAAGATGTAATAGTATATACTTATTATAGCTCACTATAAACGGTTCCATGTGAAATGTATGCTGAGCGATATTAATTTATATCTCGAGATGTATAAAATTATAATACATTATATCGCATAGTGAAAAGCGGGCTTGACTCTACTTCAAACAATTATTTAAACGATAAACTGGAGCAACAATCCGCCATCGGTAAAGTTTCGTCAAAACTCCAAGTTATTTATTTAAAACGTACGAGTACTGAAATCAAAATCATCATCATCATCATCAGTACAGCATATAACCTATCTAACCATGTAGTGGCGGTGCAAAAATATCCACTACCCTATATCGTCCCATGGGTGTCATAAGTATATCATATAATAAAATATCCTTTCCAGTCCAGTAGCATCCACACGTCTTCCAAACTTCCAATGCTGCGGTGAAGAGTTTCGAGGATATAAGTTCACCCAGTCTTACACTTTTCTGCAGTATAGGTTTCGTACCTATTCTGATTCTACACTCGGCTAGCTATTCCTATTACGTACGGACTAGCCCTACTACGTACGTACCTACAAATATTTCAGCACTTCGATATATTCGTCAGTCGACTTTACACCGCTGAACCACCGTTGGGGACCTGCAGCAACGCCCAAATTTCAACATAACACTTGACTAACATTTTATACAAAATTGTGTAGCGGATCGAAGAGTACAATCTACCACGAGTACATACCTACTTTCCTGTATTATGTAAAATTTACCGCAGGGTATGTATGTATATACCACATATGGTACTAAGGCCTTTTCGGAGACAACCAACCTCCCTCACGGCTTGTTCGGGAGGTTGGTTGTTTTCGATTTCGAAAGGTGTGAGCCGTTAAATCTGCGTGCGAGGTGATTCGTAAAGCCGCGTATCCACCGAAGTTTCAACACAACAAAACATATTTCCATTTTCGGCGGCAACATCAAAGGAATACGCTTGTTGCCAACATTTGTTCCCTCTGTGGAGACGCTTGTTGACAGAAACATTTGTTGGCAACACGTGTTGACAAATGTTGTGTTGGCAACAAAACTTTGGTGGAGACGCGCCATAATGAATCGAAAAGACTACGTAGGTCAGAATCGGTCTGTAGTTCCTCAAGAGAGCGTTGTCGCCTTTTTTTGAAGAAAAAGAAAACCACCGCTTTTAAAATTATTTAAATTTATGGAACGACTTTACGTTATAAAATAAAAAAACATAGTGTAAACAGTAAAAATAAATACAAGATAACCGATTGAATGACTTTAGTCTATATAACACAACTTTTTATGGTAGAAGGACTGAGTTGCGAGACTTGGTTTTTTTTTTACAAGTTGTTTTTGATGAAATTAAATAATTTTGTACAAAATCCGTTTTACAATTGTGAGTGATTAAGTTATGAAGTAAAAATATTCCCTAACGGTTGAAGAATGAGGTATATATAAATTTGCTTTATGCCGAATTCTTTTTCTGTTTTTACCGTTCACAATGATATGGAGGAACCACACAAGAAGGTAATTATTATTTTAACGAAGCCATCATCTTCAATGGGTCTTTATATGTAAATTACACAACTTGTGCGAATTATTCAAGACAGAAGCTACATTGTAATACTAATTATTACATAAATTTTATAATAAGACGACAAAATAAATGTCTTACTTGTGAGATGCGCTACGTGAGAGATTTTATGTTCAAGCTGTAATTAAAGTTTATGAGTTCTTATGTTAACGCGAACACTGCGCATTGAATTAAACTTGTTTTTTCACGGATTTTATTGCGTTTCATAATCAATTTTTATACTTTTATATTCCCGGCGTTTTAAGTGCTTGACAGCACCCATGGTAACGGGCGAGACTGAGGTGTTCATCGTCCCAATGTTATAGTTAACCCCGGCTACCTTCAGTTTGAATGCCGGCAATATTCATTCATTCATGATAGTCTATTAAAGGTCACAACTGAACATAGGCCACCCCATAGATTGCCTGATTAGGGAGATGTTTGCCATTGTTTTCATGCTTGGTAGGCAGGTTGACAACCGCAGTTTTTCAGTTTAGTTTAATTTTTTGAGGTGTCATCAGGAAGATGCTGCTTCCCATCTCCAGTTTCAAGTTCCTTTTGTCGCCCCTTACGGCACCCACAAGACGATATTCTTACATGCAACGCACCTGCAATTCCCCTGGTACGTACGTTGTCATCTGCTGAGGTGTGTGTATAACATCCAACAGGTCTCGGGTCTTGGGGCATCTGCCCCATTACCCAGATCTTCCTCACGGCCCATCTCTATGGGCCGGTCATTGGGAGCCGATAATTTCCGACATTGTAGGTCATCTGAATTTCAGGGCGTCTAATATGGCCAGCCCCTGAAAAAGGCGCCTAATTTGGCCAATGGCCTGAAAAAGGCGTCTAATATGGCCAGGTCGGGTAAGTCGTCCTATAGGCGACTGCTTCGACCTAGGTGTCTAAGTTGGCCTATCTGTGGCATTGAGGGCTTTACTCGACTCTCTAATCTCTATAGAGAGGAGTTCTCTTGGCAGAGGTCACCCGTCCGGGGGGCGGGTGTGTAGCGGCGCGAAGTAGGTTAGATGTGGATATGGTCCGTTGTCTGCGCGGTCGAACATACCGCGCGTCAACCGGACCACAAACTCTTCGATTGTCTCCATTTTTAGGTTGGCCGTTATGACGTTATTCCTGACGTAGCGACCTGCACCGACAATGGTCCGTAGTGATAGATTTTGCTGGACCTGCAGCCGCTGCCTTCGTCTTCTGATCAAGAGCGCGTACCAGGCCGGAGCGGCGTATGTAAGTTTCGGTCTTATGTAGAGCTTGGTTTTCATCGGTAGTTCGGATGCCAGGACTGGACGAAGCATCGCCCGCGCACATCTGGCATTGCGGACGACGATGTCGACGTGCGCGGTCATGCGCAACATCCTGTCGATCCGGCATCCAAGGTAGATTACGGCCTTTTGATACGCGATCTCTTGGCCTCTTAGCTTCAATGGTGGTGGTGGCTTCCTGTATCGGCGGGTGAGTAGAGCGGCCGTCTTCCCCACGTTCACGGCCATCCTCCACTCATCCAACCATGGTGGCAGCAGGTCCAGCAGGCGCTGCATCTTGGCAACAGCAATATGGGTTCTTCTGGACGAAGTAAAGTAGGCACTATCGTCCGCATATAGTGCCAGCTCTACGTCGTCCTCCCATTCCTGCAGATGTCCAGTGAGTGTTGGTATGTCATTTGTGTAAGCAGCGTACAGGATCGGCGACAGACAGCTGCCCTGTGGTACGCCGGCTCTTATTGGCTTGGCTGCGGACTCGGCATCCTCGAC